GCTTAAACTCCATTTAGGAAGTTCTGAGCTATTTTCAGCATATTCTCCAAGATTCTTTTTTTTTGCTTCCCAAAGTACCTTTCTAGATGTAAAATATGTATAAGTCCATCTTATAAGAACAATAACCTTCCAAATAATATTTATATTAATGGAAAAACTATGCTTTCTAGGATATACAAACAGTTCCTGTTGAGCACCATAAAGTCATTCTTTCCGGACAGCAGGCATGTTTTTTCATCCTCTATACTTTAAAGCAAGTCATTTCATTATAGTAGAGAAGTGGCTCTACCATTTATCTGCCTTTTTCACTCAATGGAAAATTATACAAAAGACTAGCATGTCATTTTTTTTTACAAACATTCATCATGGATGAATATAATACGTGTGATTATAATTATTCTCAATTACTCATATTTCTGAATGTAAGTTGTGTGTAATCACACATAACACACTTTTTCCTCCATTACTTCTTTATTCATAGTTGAGCTTATACATTTCTACAAATAATGATTTGAATTCAAAAAGTATCGTCAAAAGAAAATGAAAAGGTTATATAAATGTCACTGCCTTGCAGCAAATTTTACACGCTCTTGCTGAACTCAGCTCTGAACATCTGGATTGGATTTCTACAGTAAAGAGAAATACATTTATGTGTGAAATAGTGTTCCCAGCAATAGAGTTTTTAACACAGAAGAGGCTTGAGTATGTGTGAAAAAGGCCTCCTAATCACTCATTTGCACATGCAATGCCTTCATTTTTTTCCTCAATAGAGTAATGGTGGATCTTAAACAGAAACTTCACGCTGCTGTTTCTCTTCTTCATACTTTTATATAAGACTTTCCTGTAACAGAATCTTAATTGCCTTATATATATCTTCAAAACTCAGAACCTGTCAATTGGAATCCAAACTGGCTTTTCTAAGTCATATAATAGGTTATATTGAAAAAAGAGGGTGTAGGCATGGATTTTCTTATTGTGCTTATGGGTTATATAATCATGACACCGAAAACCATAAATGTCATAAACTATCAAAAATGAGACATTTTAAACTATTTCATCAATAAATTAATTTTGGTCTCTTTGTTTAGACTTTGAGATCTTGAGGCAACCATATGTCTTCCCATTATATTTTTATTTCACCCCCTTTATAATGCCAGAGACATTTTGGCTTTTTTATTTTTTAAATAAGGATGTGACTATCGAAGAAAGTCTAGAAAATTACAAGGAATGAAATTATTAATAATCCTACCACACAATCATGATAAGATTTTCTCCCCATGTCTTATTTTTTTTCTCATTTTTAATGATGTAAGATTTTAAAGTAAATAATATTTGAATATTTAGGACATTTAGAAAATATAGAAAAGTATAAGGAAGGTAATGAGATTACCCATAATCCTACCATCCAATGATAGCCTACATTTACATCTACTTCTGCAATTTCTCCATAACTAAATAGGAAAACATTGTGCAGTCCTATATTATTACTTTTTACCCCAGTTTGTTGATGAGTAACAATTTGCTGTCATTAACTATTTCTCAAAAATATAAATTTTAATATTTGCATAATTTTCCATCTTATTTCTGTATGAAGCCTTTTAACTTTTCTCTACTCAGATTATAATTCAAAAATTCTTAAATTGAGCTTATAAGTGTGAATTAATTTTGGATTTCTCTGTACTGCATGCCCCATTTTTCTAGCATAATGCTTGGGTTAAGAAAGAGAGAATATTTAGGCATTTGAGATAATTTCTCATTTTTGATCAAAACTGACTTAATAGTACGACTTTCTTGATCTGTTGCAATATTGTGGTTATAAACAACATTTTAACTAGTAGAATAACAACAATAATGATGTTACTTATATTCAGCATGTTTAAAATTTAATTTTTCCACGTAGAGAAAGAAAAATGATAGAATTATGTACCTGGGGATATGATATAGAAGAAGTCTTTAAATTCATCCATCCAAACTTCTGCCAGTCTCCTGTTGTTCTTGTTGATGACATGACCAGTGCCACCAGGGAAAGTGTATGGAGTGGCCTTCCGAAAAACATGACCAACGTGGGAGCAAGTCACAATTTCCAATGAGCCTCCACATTGCCAAATCTAGGAAAAGGAACAATCATTCTATAGCAATCATTGTAAATATTGCAATTAATTTGTATGAGAAACATCTAAATCTTAAGGCAAATCTTCAGATCTCATGTTCTTTAAACAAATATTAGATACACACAAAATTTAGAATTAGTACAATATACATACTTTTTGTAAAGCTAATTTGGAAGCTCTTTATTTTTTATTGAATGGTAACTATGTACATTAATGCACTTTTGGGGTACAGTGTGGTGTTTTCACACACAATCCGAAACACTTCCATCAAACTGGTTAACATAGCCTTCATGTCATTTTCTTAGTTATTATGTTAAAACGTTCATATTCTACTCTTAGAAGG